GTGCGTGCGTGCGTGCGTGCGTGCGTGCGTGCGTGTGTGTGTGTGTGTATGTGTGTGTGTGTGAAGATGTGATTGGATTGTTTTGTGAATTGTTGCTTCAGAGAGCATCTGTTAGAGTGAGCTCTTCTATGCTGATGTGTGTGTGTGTGTGTGTSTSKGKGTGTGTGTGTSTSTGTGTGTGTGTGTGCGTCTCTTTGCGTGTGTGTATCGTTGTGCAAACGCTCTGGGCCTGACAGAGCTGTCAAAGTGTTGGTGGCTGCGACGAGAGAATTCCAAACAATTTCACTGCTAATGTTGAGAAACATGTTGGCGAAGCCCACCGAGACCAAAAACCTGCGAATATATAAATAATAAACACACACACACACACACACACACACACACACACACACCTTAACAAAACGGCTGACAGTAATGTGTGTGTTTGAGCAATCGGCCCCTGTTCCAGGAGCATAAATATTTGATGTGATTCTGTGTCGAGGAGGAGGAGGGGGGGGGGGCAGTGAAAACAGGTGAGGAAGAGGATGATGAAGCTGTGAAGAGACAGAATGTCATCATTTAAAAATAAAAATGCTTTAAAGGAGGCACTTTGTAATTTAAACAGATGATTTTGGCTACAACCACACCGAACTTCAGCTGATATCTGTGGACTGAACTGAGCTTCAGACATGTTTGTTTATGTGTTTATATGGTGTTATAATCATTTATAATCTGTAATCTTTTATTCATTCACAAATCAAACCGTTAGATTAGGACTAATCTGATATGGTTTTAATTTTTTGTAATTCTTTGCATTTATTTAAAATCAAATATTTTCAGATCTCTTCAAAAACATGTTGTTTGACACCTGCTTCAGCTACTGGCTCTGCTTATTTTAGCTCCTTTTAGCTGTTAATATAATAACTCAGGACTCACTCAGTTTTTTGGGTTAACACAAAGTTACAGGGTGCATGGGAGTTCGCCCAACCTGTCTACATGTGTTTTGTGGACTTGGAGAAGGCGTTCGACCGTGTCCCAAGGGGGGCCTTGTGGGGGGTT